ATAGGACACGCATTGTGGCGCCAGAGCCTTTAAGCCACGGGCCAGAAGAAACGGTTTCCCATCCCGTGTGAGGCATTCGACCTTACATAAAACAGATTGCCGGACTACTGGCTGCAACTATACGCTCAATTCGCTTCGTTACAAACTCTCCTCTTCTTCTTCGTCATCATCTTCGTCTTCTCCTTGAATAGAAAAACGATGCATTTCAATCTTTATAACAGCAAAACCACTGTTATATTAAATCTCAAATCTCATTTTTTCAATTTTATTCCAGCTTTTAAAAGATAATCTAAATGGATTATGTGAAAGAGTGAGTCAGAGTTTTAGGATTTATATAAGAAAGTCAAAAATGAACATCTACGTATATTAAAAAAATTATTCAAAGTTGTTACCCTTCGCATAAAATATCTTAAACTGATTTTACAGTGTGGATATTGTACTATATTCGTTCCCGCGTTCATTTTTCCCATCATTAACAAATTCTATCAACCTTTCAGGCTACATTTAAAAAACTCTATAGTTGGGTCGAACCGACCATTAGCCTATCCTAATCTAATTTATGCCCTGGGACACTTCCCGGTTTTGACGTTCAACCTATCTGTTCCCACGGGACGCATATTGTTTATAAATACCTACGGTTTGTGAAGCGTGGCCCACATCAACCTGAGCCCCTAATAAAACGCTTAAGGTGGTTTATACACAAACAACTAAGTGAGAAAATAATAAAGTAGAAAGGAATTTTAAATATTATAATTTATTATTTTAATGTCATCTTAGGAATGCTCGAATACATTTTAGTTTAATAAATAAGAACCACATATTTTTTCTACCGTTTGTTTAATTTTTAAACTTATTGTACCCTATTAATCTTTTTAAAGTAAACCTTTTTTGCGGAAACCCAAGACGGGGTAAAAACTAGCCTACGAATAACAAAAAATAGGGATACAAGAACGAAAAATTGGTGTAGGTACGAGCGTCGGCGGTAAAAGTGTCCTTTCTCGGATGTTAGTCTGCGTATATGTCAATACCCGGAATGGAGCCATATAATTCACAATGGTTCTGTCATATGTTGGCGCCCGTCCCATCAGCTTCGTCTGTAAATATCCACCACATACACGATCCGAAAACTTTTGGGGTGTAAGCACATAGAGGGAATATAGATAGGCGAAGGGTGTAGGGTATTTCTTCCCTGGAGGTGGGCTTTCTTGAGGTTCTAAAGTGGTGATGGTGTCATAATTTGACGCTAAATTGACAAGAATGTGAAACGCCCATAATTTTTTGCGATGTGTTGATATCCACTCTTAAAACTTTCCAGTAAAGTAAAATCATTATAAGTAAGATAATTCTGATTTAGCTAAATTTACACAATTTATAATTTATTTGTATGCTCCAAAATGTAACGATTTAACTCAACATATCTACAGGTTGATTTAGGAGATATGGGCTCAACACTAACTTGGCCTGCTTCGTCATGCTCCTCGATATCGTCATTATCTATTCATATCGTCCTTGGTATCTGTCAACATCGTTCCAGTGTTGATCTTCTACAACTGTCTTCTCTCAACATCTTCTCCTTTAACTATTAATATTTATCGTTCTTGATATCTCTAATAACGATTGTGTTTGAATTGAAATCATCATAACATTAAAATTTGAAGATTTAAAAACACCACTTATCCCGGATTAAATACTAATTAAATTTGCTACAAAATCATTTTTGTCTCATATCGATGTCTCAATTAGTTCCTGAGATACAATTTATTAAATCTTCTTGCTTACCATTGTATTGGATGTAATTAACGATAATTTAGCACTTTGACAATGGAAATATATTTATTAATCTGCTTTAAGCAGAAATAAAGCAGATTAATAAATATATTTCTATTGTCAAAGTACTAAATTATCTTTAATTACAATTTATTAAAGATTAATGTCTTTCAATATTACATTTATAATTGTGGTTGAAATCAAAAAATAATAGCTCCGGAATTTGCGATGATATGACCTTGTAAATACTAAATACCAAGAAAATTTGCTGTCGACTGCTCTTTATCTCATGCTAATATCTCAATTAGTTCCTGAGTTACTATTTGTTAAACTTTGATGTCTTTCAAAACAATATTCATGATTGTGATTGAATGAAAAACATGGCAACCTCAAAATTTGAAGATTTGAAAAAATCACTTTCCCCGTATTAAATACTAAATAAATTTGCTATAAAATGTGTTTTATCTCATATCGATATCTCAATTGGTTCCTGAGATACAATTTATTAAAGATGCATGTCTTTCAATATTACATTTATAATTGTGGTTGAAATCAAAAAACCATAGGCTCAAAATTTGAATATGCGAAGATATGATTTTGCAAATACTAAATATCAATTAAATTTGCTATCGAATGCTCTTTATATCATATTAATATCTCAACTAGTTTTTGAGTTGTTATTTGTTAAACTTTGATGTCTTTCAAAACAATATTCATTATAGTGGGTGAATTAAAATCATCATAACCCCAAAATTTGAAGGTTTGAAAAAATCACCTTTCCCGGATTAAATACCAACTGAATTTGCTATAAAATCTGTTTTATCTCATATCGATGTCTCAATTTGTTCCTGAGGTACAATTTATTAAAGTTTGATCTCTTTCAATATTACATCTACGATTGAGGTTGAAATCAAAAAATCATAGGCTTAACATTTGAATATGCAAAGATATGACCTCATAAGCATTAAATACCAATTAAGTTTGCTATCGAATGCTCTTTATATCATATTAATATCTCAACTAGTTTTTGAGTTGTTATTTGTTAAACTTTGATATCTTGCAAAACAATATTCATGATAGTGGTTGAATTAAAATCATCATAACCTCAAAATTTGAAGATTTAAAAAAATCACCTTCCCCGAATTAAATATTAAATAAATTTGCTATAAAATGTTTTTTATCTCATATCGATGTCTCAATTGGTTCCTGAGATACAATTTATTAAAGATGCATGTCTTTCAATATTACATTTATAATTGTGGTTGAAATCAAAAAACCATAGGTCCAAAATTTGAATATGCGAAGATATGATTTTGCAAATACTAAATATCAATTAAATTTGCTATCGAATGCTCTTTATGTCATGCTAATGTCTCAACTACTTCCCGAGTTACTATTTGTTAAACGTTAATGTGTTTTAGAACAATAGTCATGATAGTGGTTGAATTAAAATCATCATAACCCCAAAATTTGAAGGTTTGAAAAAATCACCTTTCCCGGATTAAATACCAACTGAATTTGCTATAAAATTTCGTTTTATCTCATATCGATGTCTCAATTTGTTCCTGAGGTACAATTTATTAAAGTTTGATCTCTTTCAATATTACATCTACGATTGAGGTTGAAATCAAAAAATCATAGGCCTAACATTTGAATATGCAAAGATATGACCTCATAAGCATTAAATACCAATTCAGTTTGCTATCGAATTCTCTTTATATCATATTAATATCTCAACTAGTTTTTGAGTTGTTATTTGTTAAACTTTGATATCTTGCAATACAATATTCATGATAGTGGTTGAATTAAAATCATCATAACCTCAAAATTTGAAGAGTTGAAAAAATCACCTTCCCCGAATTGAATATTAAATAAATTTGCTATAAAATGTTTTTTATCTCATATCGATGTCTCAATGGGTTCTTGAGATACAATTTATTAAAGATTGATCTCTTTGGATATTACATCTACGATTGAGGTTGAAATCAAAAAATTATAAACCCAAAATTTGAATATGCGAAGATAGGACCTCATAAGCATTAAATACCAATTAAATATGCTATATATCATATTAATATCTCAACTAGTTTTTGAGTTATCATTTGTTAATCTTTGATGTCTTTCAAAACAATATTCGTGATTGTGGTTGAATTAAAATCATCATAACATCAAAATTTGAAAAAAGCACCTTCCCCAGATGAAATATTAAATAAATTTGCTATAAAATGTTTTTTATCTCGTATCGATGTCTCAATTGGTTCCTGAGATACAATTTATTAAAGATTGATCTCTTTGAATATTACATACACGATTGATGTTGAAATCAAAAAATCATAGGTCCAAAATTTGATTATGCGAAGATATATCCCTGTAAATACTAAATACCAATAAAATTTGCTATCGAGCGCTCTTTTTATAAAACTAATACTTCAATTAGTTCCTGAGTTACAAACATTGATGTCTTTCAACGCAGCTCAATCCACAATTGTGATTAAATTTAAAAACTCATAACTACAAAGTTTGCAGATTTGAGGAAAACACTTTTTTCATACTAAATTTGTTTCAGTCATTTTTATCTCCCATCGATATTTCAATAATTAATTCCTGAGATATAATTTAATTTTTTTTTAAATCGTATCAATTTATTAATCAATTCTATTCTGATTAAAAATTTGTTAAAGTACTTTTACATCTAAAAATCACAACGTCTTCTTTACAATATGATTCACTTCAATTTCTTCGAACTAATATTCTAAAAAAAAATAAATAACCCTACTCTTCTTAATAGCTCCAATGCGACATAAAAAGCCTACTAATTGCACGCATAAAAACTTTTTAGATGGGAATCAATAATAAATTAGTCAGAGCAATTATAAATTCTCGTCCCCATTGGTCTGTGGGAGTGGTTTCGACTTCCTGACGTCACCAAGACATACATGTAGTCCTAACATGCCTAAGCAACGTATAAAGAACGAACGAGCCGTTCGAACAGCCAAAAATCGACCGTATCCAACTCATGAATAAAGCTGAACTGAAGAACTTTTTGAAAGGATTTTGAACCTTACGTTTTGTGCGAAGGCACGTGAGGGACGAATTTCATGGGTAATTAGTCGTCTTCAGTTTTCAGTCACAGTTCAGAGATCGTCAGTGGTCAACAAGGGTCATTAAAGTTTAATCAACTAATACTTTTTTAGCAAGTTTATCAATTTAAAGAAAGTGTTTAAAGAAAAAATTTTTTCATTAAATTTGTGTTAAAAATGGAAGCAAACTTGAATTTGGACGCAACAGAAAATTATCAAGATAATTGTGATACAACTTCTTCGAGTTGTTATTCAACGCCGTTTTCTGTAAGGGATATTTTAAACATTAACAGTGATGGGGATTATTTAAGTACTTATAAGGAGTATCAAAATTTGTCTTATAACAACAATACTCAGTGTTACGGACAACAAAGTTGGGATAACAATTATTTTGGAAATTACGAATTACCTCAACAACATCAACAACAAGTTTACAATAATTATTATAATCCTAATCCTGTCAAAATTGAGCAGTGCGAAAATGTGCAATATCTTGATCAACACGATGTTAGTAGCATGACACAAATCCCTTCGCAGTTTTGCCAAAGTTATCAAGAACTTCAAAAACCTAAGGAAATTATTGAATATAATGTACCATCACCAAGTAAGTCATCAAAAAATCGTTAAAATTGAAGTAGTAATTTAATTTATTTTCTTTTTTATTCTAGAAAACCAAGTGACTAGTTCAAAAACTGAACTAAGAAAATCCGGTCGGCAACGAACAAAACGAAAACCACGCGTGTTATTTTCACAACAACAAGTTTACGAATTAGAGTGCAGATTTAAGCAGCAAAAATATTTATCGGCGCCAGAGCGTGAGCAAATGGCCAAAGGTTTAAAATTAACACCGACGCAAGTAAAAATATGGTTCCAAAATCGACGGTACAAAAGCAAACGAAGCAATGTCGTTGAAAGAGAAGAAGATAAAATGAACTGTTCCGAAGATACCGTCATTACTAGTAATATGCCGTGCTTACAACAATTATATCATCACAACACACAACAATATTATGGTCAAATGTACGATGGTATGAGCTCGCATCACGAATATCAACAAAATTCTCAAGTCGATATGAATAATATCGTTAAATATGAAGGTATCGAGTTTCATTAATGTCAATGATATATTTATTTATTGAAATTTTAAATTTTAATATTTGTTTTTAAAGACAATTTAAAGTTAATGTAGTCCATGTAAATATGTAAATATTGTATGATATTTGGAATAATTATTTTTAAGGATTTCTAAAAATTATTATACTTTAAAGTTTGTAGATATCTATTTTTATTAAGAAAACAATAAAGACTTTCTTAAATTTAATTAATTTTTTTTAATCTATTTTGTGCCACCCACATTGTAATTTTAATCAATCTATTCTAACGTAACCTTAAAATATCTCCGATAAAGTATTTCTCTATCGGAGCAAGCTGCCAAATGCTTTCAGGTTAAAAGGTGATCTGGCGTTGACTACTTGAATTTTTCACACGGTGAACGAGTTAATGCAGAAGCCTTCCAGATAATGTATCCATTTCCTCTGCATAGTCTCGGAATTATAAATATAATCCCCAACAACATGTTACAGAACCGACCGATTAATTTCGAAAACATTGTGATGTTAAACAAAGACTTAAATTTATTAATAAACTAAAAGAATTTTGATGAATTATATAAAAATATTTAATTATTTAGGGTGCTTTTTAAAGGTCAAATTTAACGAAATCAAATATGATTCCCTTCACCGTTACGGATCAAATTTCTATTTGCGACGTTTATGAATTTAATCTGTATAGACACACATAAAGAAGGTAAATATTATCAAACCGCCATCAATCACTATGATATATACTTTTTGGTATTAATTTCCATATTTCACCGAAAGTTTTAAATAAATAAATTTGAGGATTTATTAAAAATGATTAAAATACTTAAATTGTTATAAAAACTGAAATATCGTTTTTATTTTTTAATTCACACACTAAACTTAATACATTTTGTAAACTGAAAATTTGGCGCCATCTATGTTCAAATAGCTATAGTATATTCTTTGGAAACTAAAATTGACTTCTTTTTAATTTATGTTTTGATCATAAATTCAAGATTATTTATTTAGGTTAATAAGAAATGTTGAAATTGATGGTGTAACAGTATTTTTATTTTTTTTTTTAATTTAAGATATCTATTTTTTAATCTTTAATTTCTAACTACTCAATAGAGGGTGGATTAGGTCTATGTATAGGCATTTACCCACTAGATGGATTTAGGAAAATATTAATTAAAAGAATAAATGGAAAAAGTACAAATTTTTACAAATCTACGTTAATTATCGTCTGTTATTAAGTCAGGTTTAATTTTGAAAAAAAATCCTCATATTAAATGAATCGCAAGAAAAATAAGTGTGGGAGGTGATTACTATATTGAAGCCTCTTCATATTTAAAATAAAGAGCATATTGAGAAGATATGGATTCAACCAATACAAAAGAAAAACTCATCCAAACCAACCCAAGTCAGCAACAATTAAATAACTGGAAATACGACTTAATGGAACGTATTAAGTCGATATTGTAATTTTTGTGCACAAATTTGCAGAAAAGTTAGAGTAACTTATTTTAGCCCTATCAACTAACATTGCTTACAAATACAAGATTCAGCAAAGATCTATCCGTTTGTTTCCTGCAATCAATTTCCCCAGCTTCTGTTAAAAGCGGACTTGCTTTGTCTGTCCCAAAGGCTTTCCTAAGACAGATTTCCTAAGGCTATTAAGCTTCAACATTATAGCTACAAACTGACATCTATATGTGTAGTAAATGGTATAAGTAAAAATCAAGTAAACAATATGGTACTCAAACATCACATCATGTCCAAAACCCACAAAAACACCTTACTTTGTATCATAGATTTTCCATTCACAAAAATATATTTAAGTATTTGCAAGTAATAACAGATTACCTAGCTTCTTTAAAATTCATCGATTTCCTAAAACCATATCGCTGGCCAGAAAAGATATTATTGTTATATATCCATCACTCAAGTCCCACCTTTTTTCAGTCTTCATAATGCACGATACTAATAAAATCATCATAAAAGGAGTCTTAAGAAGTCTTTCAATTTCCTGTAGCAGATTTTCTAAGAGAATATAGCTTATACTGTGGTAGCAAGGAAAAGTTTGTTAGCGATGAGAAAATATTCTGTGGAATTTCGTAACTATACATGTATATATGATACATATAATATAAATTCCAATAGTCTAAAAGTTATCCCACACTTAATTTTTTTGTTGAAAAATGTCTTTACAAAAGTAGAAGTCATAAAATAGCAAACTTTTGTTCTAAAGATTTTTAATCGATTCCAGCAGATGATTGATTTCCCCTTAAAGTATTGTTTGTTGCAAACTCGGGCTTTATTGCTGTAGGGCTTTCAGTGCCAGCGGAAAATGCAACAAGTTCCTCAACTTTCCAGATAATGTCCTAAATATGCTCGAGTGGTGAAAGATCGCGTGAATGTGGTGGTAAGAAATTAACATTATCTTCTACAAACTGGGTCATACAATGTCTTGCAATACGGGGAGGGGTATCATCCTATTGGAAAAAGTTGTCTTCCAACCGGTGTTGAAATGGGAATATAAAGGGTTCTACCACCTTAACCATATATTGCTGGGGATTCATATTGTCTGGGATAAATACCAAACAACATATACTACCACATTCAACACTGCTACGTTCCCCACGTCTTCATCATATCCTCATGCATCTTCAAACACAATCAGGATTGGAGTCGGTAGAGTGGAATCAGTGCAGTCACAAACTACACAAGCCAAATACCAAAACCCAGAAGATCACAAGTTACAAACTATGAATCTGCCACAAACCGTTTGAAGAGTTACCTTGGTTACCCAGCCATTGATACAGTACCTTATTGCTACAAGTAAAAGATGACCTGCCATTCTTTTGTTCTTCTTTGCTCCTATTCTGCGTCGTTTCTAGCCTTCCCTAATCCATACCTATTTGAAATTACAGGTCATAAACATGTTTTCACCTATTTTAAGGTTTTTGATTTTATTAGACGAGGGATGTTTACGTTTCTTAGTTTCTTTTCTCATGAAATTCTTCTTCAGTCACTATTTTGACAAAAATTTCTTCTGTATGAAAACCACTCTGAGGTTCGACTACTTAGGAATCATCAGGAGTAGTATTTATGAGAATTTTATTTTCTGAGGAGACACTATCAGAGAGTAAGAAAAGATATTTTTACACTGACATTTGTAGTGGTCCTCGTAATTGAAAGTTAGAAAGTTGGAGTGAAGTCAAACAGAGAACAACGGCTATAGTAAATATGATAATTCATGTTTTATTGACAAAGACCAACAGTGGTGTATTATCATTCAAGTTGACAGAAACTTAGCAGCGAACACTTAACACATAGGTAGCATTTGAACTTTGCATGAAGAAGCAAATTTTGACAATATACACCATCTGCTGTACCATTACACAACTTTTCAAAATATTCAATTTTTGATTATGATGCTGAATTGATTGTATAGTTATTGTGAAGCTTCATAATATACAATAGAATGAAAATACAACTAGAAAATGAAATATTTCTTTAAATTGTGTTAAAAGACTAATTAAATTCTATGATAATAGTAATTAATTTTAATATATTTCTTGTATGTCGTAGATATAAATTTTATGGTTGCATCAAAATTGTAATTATAACTTAATAACCTTCTTGAGCCAATAATTCCCATCTAAAATATACCGCGGGCCTTCTGCGACGAGATCAAAGAAAACAGCCTTGTGTACTTAAATCCGGTTTATTTTATTTATGTGCATAAATATTTAAATAGGGTGCTTACGTACTACTTATATACACTATATTACACTAAAGGAAAAACATACATCGTACGCGATTTGTGGCCTACCGATCTCTACAGGTGTACTTTAAACTTTATCTACACGTGATTAATGAGATTGTTGAGATGTATAACAAGTTGTTAGAGAATTTATTTTTGATTTTTTTGCATTAAAACTATTAAAAGAAAAATTTTGATTTTCTTCAAGTAAATTTTCTAACAACACAACGATTGCATTAAATATAAAGTAAAAGTGACTTTAATATTGTATCAAGAACAAAAACCGTATTGTATTGTTTATTTTTGATTTGTTTCTCAAATTGATTTTATTTCTAAGGAGGTACATAAAGTTAGAAAGCTATATACATTAACAAGAATATCTTTAACTTTACTTAATAAAATTAATTAAAACTAATTTTGTTCTCTTTGTTGTTCAATGTTAATCTCATCATCCGGATGAACCATACTCGTCGTAACAATGCCAGGATGGTAATAATTAAAATAAGGAAATAATTGCATTGAATTATTGTATTGTTGACACAAATTAAGCATCGATTCTTGCAAACTTTTATTCGCCACATATTTTTGCGCCACACTTTTACTGAATTGATCGTAAACAAAAAATTCTTTAGGATCGTTATAAAATCCTTGCGGGTGTTTTTGATACAACATAGGCATATCATCTTTCACTAGAACTTTAACTGCAACTTTTCTCGCGTTTTGACTCAATAATGTTGATTCTTGCATTTGCATTTGTTTCCTTTTGGTTTTGTACCGTCGATTTTGATACCAAATCTTCACTTGTGTCTCGGTCAGTTTTAAAGCTTGAGCCAAGTCCGCCCTTTCTGGTCCGCTTAAGTACCGTTGTTGGCTGAATCTACGTTCTAATTCGAACACCTGAGCGTGGGTAAAAGCAGCTCGCGACCTCTTCTTGCGTCCGGATTGGCTTGGATCTCTCTCTGATTCGTCCGATTGGACGTTCCTCGAGTAGTCGGTGTCGTAAGAGGAGCCAGAATACCCAGGTAAATCGTCTACAAAATGAAGAAAAAAAAATATAAACTCTTAGATTATTACAATTTTTTCAACATTATTTTTAAGTTGTTTAGACAGAACGTGCCATTAAATTAATAGGTCACCTATCACTTTATAGTGTGTATTATACAGAATCACGACATTAAAGGACGAACATTTTACGTAACACCGTTCGTTTTTGAAACGGGAACTGGTACCACTTGTCACGTGACGTCGACGAACTAAAAGCTTTTAGCTTGAAAGCTCATTGCCTGTTATAACATCAACTTAATTTTAGTAATTGGTTTTGATGTAGGTAACACTCAGTACGTCATTATGGGACAATAAAGAACATTTAGTATTAACGTATTGGGGTGAAATAATATAAATTATAAAATTGGAAAAGATTTAGGAAATGTTATGTAATAATTTTTGGTAAAAATAATTTTAAATGGCATATAATAATAATATCATTGTTATTACAATGAACTTTGATTCCATGTGTCAAGACGTTTTAGATCACTAGTTCGAGTATATCAATATCAGGCTTCAATATAAGCATTGAAACTAGAAGGTAAAGTGGTAGGTGGAGTGAACATAGTAACTAGAGGTAGCAGAAGTGTGTATCAGTTTTGATACACACGGCAGTCAACGTGTTAAATAGCGGCCAGGACCTGGTTGAATAAAGACTTCAAGTCTATAAACTTCAATCTCACACAGCTCAAGTAAATGAAAGATCTTTTCAACCTATGTAGTATTCTTGTTTCTACAGAGTCTGTACAGATTATGTTTGTACTGCTACAAGTTCGCAAAATTTAATTCTAGAGCTTTGCAGTTCGAGTGAATGGTCAAATGTGCAGTGTTCTGCGCAGCTTAGTTTGGTAGACCTATGACTTCAATTTTATATAGAGTCTGCAAAGCTATGAATTGCCAATCTTTATAAATGAACCTCAATAGCGATAGAGCTGATAGGAATAAGAAAGTAAAATATAAATGGGTGCAATCACAACAAGGGGAATATACAATGATAGTGAGGAAGATGAAGTGGGCCAAAATGAAGATACTGAACGACAAAAAGATGGCAAAGACAACGGAAGAATATAGCAACATTGGAACGCATCCGTGTTAAGTGCAATAGATTATGTCGAACCTGCTATGCGCTTTGTATTTCATGTTCAATTTCTGTCAGTGAGTAGCCTATGGAGCGGCTTTTCATAATTTTTGGTTATCGCAGATTCCAATTAGCTTGAAATCTATCCTCTTATGACAGAACATAAGCGATTTTTAGAAAACCATAAATTGATGAAATTATAGACATGAATATGTTGAAAAGTAGCTGCGAAGAACGTCGTAAACAATTTATCCTGAATTTAGAAAAGTACTTCAGTTGGAATAATGTGATTTGGTCGATATTTCTTAAAGAAAATATCTAAAATTGGTTGTTTTCTGTAGTGAAGTGGTTGTTGACTGCCTAGTTGGGTTAGGTTGGGTTGGGTTGGGTTGGAAATATCTCAAATTGGTGGTTTTCGGTAGTGAAGTGGTTGTTGACTGCCTAGTTGGGATTTCTGATATTGTATTTAGGTGACGTAGCAATGGTGATGGTGAAAGTAAAAGAAGTGTTGTTGTTAAGTATATTACTGAATTTAAGAAATCAATCTCTTTAGGCATTCAAGATAAATTCATCCACTCTTTAACACTCGACAGACTTTGGTTTTAGGAAAAGTTATTAGTTTCAATGCCCACATCATGTTTATTGTGGAATTTGGGACGAACATTTGTTATATTTGTTTATTCACTAATTGGTAACCTAACATCTTTATCAAAAACACTTTTGGGTACCGTTATCGGATCTTCATCTCCACTTCTTCAAACATTTTAAAACATCTATCCAATAACTAACTTATTTCAACATTTCTTCATGCTAGAACGAATGGATAACATCGTTAAAGTTAGTTATCTGGTGCCATCTTAATGGATGCTGCATACAGTCAAAACATGCTTTATTGGATGAGTTATTTCTTGGAACTCTTTATTTATTTATAGGTTTTGCCATAAAATCCTGAGTGATTGAACCTTGTATAGGCATACCACTGATTACATACACTCTGCTATAGTAGTTTAGAACAAAAAAAATGATTTATGAAAACAACAAGATTTTAATAAGATTCCAAAGATTTCCAGATTTTTTCCCAGAAAAGTTGGAGCAATCGAAAGAAGAAAATTTGACATGATCACAAAAACAAGCCAAAGAGAGTTTTCTGTAAAAAATTAAAATCAGTAGTTATTAGTTCAGTTAATAAAGAAAGAAAGATTATAGTGACACAAAACTAAAGAAATTCATTCTTACAAAACGGCCAGAAACATTTTTTATCAAGAAAAATAATCTTTAAATTTGTGTATTTGAAATCACTGTTAATTTTTAATTTTATGGATGAGTTCACATCCACACTAAAGTGTATTACTTGACATATTTTAATGTATCAGGATACTTTGGAATATCATGAAACATTAAAATCATGTTCGTTGAATCAGCTAGTTACACGTCGGACAGTTATGGAGGTAACTCTTCCGCAAATCAATTGAAGTCTAAAAGAAAAAGAACAAATTTTCTTGTTTTCTGTCTTATTATAGTGCATCCGAAGTTCTGATGACAATGTTTGCCATAATGGAAATTATGTTTCAACCTTCAGGTTTTAATACAATAGGATCCAATACAGAAAGATTTATTACATATGTGACTACCCATAGCATTTAAGAATCAAAGACGGTTTAAAGGAGCAGGAAGATGTAACTTTGACTCTGAAATTACAAAGGAATTATTCTAGGAAGCTCCTAATTTATGGAAATTAAGAAAAATAGCAAAGAACATTAGATATCTAAGATATAGGAGAATGTGTACAATACATAAAATGCAAATTCGCTCAAATCACCGGATTAGTTGCAATAGAGTACAAAATTTTAGTAAAATAAATAAATTCTAATCTACCTGGAGTGCCAATCCTTTTGGTATTCTTCGACATATCAATAGCCTTTTCTTGCCCTTCCACATAATCCAAATCTTGCTCATTTTTCTTAGAACTGTTTAAAATATCTTTAATAGAAAAAGGGGTAACAGAAATTTGTTGTTGACTTTTCTCAACTTTGCAATAAATTTCCTCATCCATTCTTTCCAATTTTTCTTAACCCCTTCTTTTTTAACCCTTTCTCCAAATGATAAAGTTTTGAACCACTTATAGACACTTTATTGTTTCTAATTTGTAATATATTTCGAGATAATTTTAACTCGAAAACTTCACGAAGAAAACTGCGGATAGCAATTCCATGAAGAAACCACCACGTCGAATAAACACTCTCTTTCGTTATATTCTCTCTAAACGGCGTGCCAAAGTAAATTTACGACCTGACGTTCGGTTCAGGTGCCCCCTTTAAAGTGTGGGTGCGTAAACAAGTTTTCTATGTCCGCGCGAAACTCATATACTACACAATACACAAGTCGATATTAATGATGATTTTTTTGAAGGTGTTGTTGTGTCTTAGACAGGATCCGTTTTGAAACTGACAGTGTACGTCATCTAAATTGTTCACGAGAGAGGTTCGGGGGCCCGACTCCGAAAAGTTATAAGCGCGATCCTTTTCTAACGCGTTTTCTTCGACGATTCGAAGCAGTTGTGAGGACGCTCGGCGTCCCTCTTCGACGACGTCGCACCACAGAAAAGGGGAGGGACTAGTAGCTGATTTTTTCGATTGGGGAGGACGCTAATGTTAAAACGTTCAATCCTCGACGACATCACACACTTTATGTTACTATAATAAGAATATTGCACTTGTACTTTATTAGTTGTTTTCTGAAAATCATTTCAAAATCTACTTAAAATATTGATAATGCAGATTAACCTACAAAAACATTCTTAATAGTAACATCTTAAGCAGTATTTATAAAAAATCAACTATAAATGATATCATTAATAATTTCACTTTTTTGGAAAGGTTAAATTAGGAGTTTTTTTTTACAGTAGCTACACCTATTATGATGAGGAAGCAGTGTTCCATTATAATTGAAACTCTTTCCTTATCAACAATTAAAACCCATCTAAGTCTTGTAGAGCAATATGAAGTAGTGAGATAAAAACCTTACGTCAAAACAGTACCACTCGACAAGTGTATATGGAGAAGCATAGAGAGGAGAAAGAATTTTGAAGAGGGCATCTCCGTTAAATAGTACAAGTATTTAAAGCGCAATTCCGGGGGCCCACTTATCCTCCGCAACAACAATTTTGGACGCGCGTTGAGGCCGCGGAACATGCCACTTAATGTTTTAAAATAGTTATTTTATAAACATATCCGGCTAAGTACACATACTTGAGAGAAGTGCTTACCTCACATGTGGTTATTATAATTCATACCGACGCGCTCCCGAGGCCCGTTCGCGATCACCTAACCGAAAGACGAATGTAAACGATTTACCTATTTTTTTTACCTAAGTTTTGATTTTCATGCTCATGTATCTAGAAAATAACAGCTCCAGTTTAAACAGTTAAAGGTACAGTACAAAATATTGAAATTTTAAAACATTAATATCAAAATGTGCAATAATCAAAATTATAAATCTGTTGATTTTTTATATTTATTACTAATTAAAATCTCCTTGCTTTCTAATATAAAATACTAAAAGTTCGAAAAACTTTAAATCTTTAACCAAATAGTAATAACGATATAACATATATGAACGAAATTGCTCACATTCAAAGATGTACATGATTTTGTAAAGTGAACTATTCAATTGGCATTAGTCAAAAGTCAGAATAAGAATCAGAAAATGTATTACCTTAATGAACATCCTGGTGAAAGTAGTCCCGTGTGCTTCTCATCAAGTTAGCTGACTTAATCCGAGTGAGTCAACGAGAAAAACGACATACCAAAACTCAAGACAAGACAACTTCGTCGATTACGATGCTCTCCCCACTGGATCAAATAACAGTACTAACAAAGTAACAGTTGTGTATTTAGCTATTAGTTTTTTCCTCAGTTCTTCTTGTTCTGGCGTTTCCTCACTATCATTACGAAGCAAAGAGTAAATTAGAGTATCAACCTTATTTTTCCAATCTTAGCGTCTCTCGTTCTTAGACAAGATTAGAAGCTATTGTGAATCTGCTTCAACTGTTCTGAACTTTTCTGCGCATACATGTAAAAAATTTAGAACTACAGAACTCTTGAACCATAACAGACCAAATTATTTCAATTTAAAAGTGGTCGTTGTATTGTGACATATAATAATTTTACTGTAATAAGATAATTAATTTAAAGTTTACCAAAAGAAGAGTTATGAAGTGAGCTTTATATAGAGAACTAAGAAAATTGCTGATTTAATTTTCTCCCCTTTATTCCCGTCGCGCGATTTCCGAAAGTTCACCATGGTGTAATTGAGAAAATGGCAAGAACTCTTCGTTGCGCGGAGACGTAACCGCCGTTAAGGCTCATATTCATATGCTAATGGGATGGAATTGGCGAGAAGAAATCGTTTCCTGCCGACGTTCGGTTAAAGTAAAGCTTCGTCGTAGGGTTTTCGTCGTCGAGATTCAATTAGGAAACGTTCGAAGCGCTTCGCAGAGCTGGGAAAACGGTTGGAAAAATAAATCCACCGCTTAAATCAACCAATAGTCGGCCGTTTAACGGGTCCATTACCGACGTTATTTCCGACTACTGTTTATTTACTTAGATAGTGCGAGGCAATAAAAGTTTGTTTAGGATGGGCGCGTTTATGCGGCCAATGAAAGGTGCCGTTTAGTTTTTCGCGAGGATCTGGATGAGTTAAAAAAAATTCTTACGGAAAACGTCACGTTACAAAAATTACAAATACCTACTAAAAACTTTTCCGTCCATTAACCAAATTTGTTTAATAAACAGGAAATCAACCGGGGAAAAAAACGTGTACTGCACGTGTCGCTTTTTTTATACAACATGGAACCGAGCTAAATCAAAAACCCTCGCGACACACAATAAAAATACAATCAATTCTAAAATGTGTAACTTGTGGCACTTTGAAGTTGTTCTTTTGATGGTGTTGTCGTTAAAACCGTTGTCTCGTTCGGTTTTGGTTTGGTGTTTTAGTTGAGTCAACGGCGTCGTCTAAAAGAGAAAGATCTATGCGGTGGAAGACGCAGAGAAAATCATAACCATCTCCACCAAACACATGGTTGTTCTTAAAATGCTTAAGTGTAAACAATGCATTTTAACAGCAAGCCCAGTTATGACTCCTAATAGTCTAAACGAACGGATAATGTTACCTACCAACGTTCCCGTAGTTGAACAAGAAAATAAATAACAAGAAAAAACTATCTGGGGAGATATCCTGTCGACGCCTTTAAGAACAAGACCTTAAATTTTTTTGTATTAAAAAAAATAGGTACTACAAATTTTTGTCTGTGATTTATTTATTAAAATGATTTATGAAAGAATTTAGTTTTAATTCAATTGATTAATAAAAAAGGAAGCATAAATAAAAGTCTAAACGAGCCATACCATGGATATGGATAAAACTGGTCGAAGAATAGACCCTTGTGGAACAAACCTGATGAACAAAATATAGGACTAGATATCACTGAATTTAACTGAATGGACTGAATTCTATTAGAAAGATAAATTTTAAGATGCTAGCAAGCCGTGATTAAGTATATCAAAGGCCTTTGTGAAATCAAGCAATATCAACAAACTTGACTTGTCCTGATCTAAGCCAGGAACAAATCATCAATCAAATTCAGAAGCTGCGTTTTTGGTGGCACCAGATAGCAGTTCACTTTCCCGCGTGTGTCTCGAGGATGTGATATTTCATATTTTTTGAAAAATTCAAAGTAATTCTTCCTAACCAATACGGCAGATTCCAGAATATAAATTCCATACAAAGTAGGTATTTGATACTCTTTAAAGTAACATCTACAGCTATCAGTACTTTTTAAACCGAAGATTGCTCTTACATATCTCTTCTGTTGTATGAAGATATTAACTATACAAACACCACGGCCCCAAAAGACAATTCCATATCTTAGCAAGAAATGAACATATGCATAATAGGCATTTAATGCTGCCTCAATGCCAGCTGATCTGGAAATAATCCAAATGGCATAGGAGAAATGACTGATCTTGCCAGCAAGGAAATCAATATGATTGATCCAAGACAGTCCAGGGTCCATTTTCCAACCCAGAAACAAAATCTCTTCTACACTGGTAATCTCAGTGTCCCCATATCTCGCCTTGATCTGGTCAGAGCATAAGTGATAATCAACAATTTTCGTTTTTTTTTTACTTAACTTTATGTTGTGCGCTTCAAACCAATCTGCAAGTTTATTCAGATCCACAGTAAGTGATTTCTGGATTTCATAATTAGTACTACACCGCGCCTCGGTCGTTGTGTCATCCACAAACATTATCGTAATGTTGTTCGTTACACGTGGTAAATCATTCACATACAGGAGGAACAATAGAGGACCCAATATGGAACCCTGAGGTACTCCCAGCTTGACTTCCCTCCAAGCTGATCTTATTTCTGTTCCCTATTCATTGTGGGCAACTACACATTGTAACATCCCTGATTGATACGATTTCATCCACGACAAGCTAACACCTCTAAAGCCAAGTCTCTTCAACTTGATCAAAAGGATTGAATGATGTACACTATCAAAGGCTTTTGTAAGATTCATGAACAATGCTGTTGTGGCCTGTTTTCCATAAGCCACTTCAATAATTTTGATTACACTGGCAATATTGTTATAGGCCTCAGATCCTGATATGTATTAACTTGAACTACTTTGGGAATGGGAGTAACATAGCCGTACTTCCAGGAGTTTGGGAGTACTGATTGAGTAAGACAAAAATTGTACAGATAGCCAAGTACATCAAGAATACGGGGACGGCAGAAACGTATCATATCGAAGCTGATCCCATCAGACCCAACACAAGTCGATCTCATATTTAATAAGATGCTCTGAATGTGATCAGTAGATACTTCATGAAATGCCATTGTCGGTTAGTCAGGACGAATTCTGTTACCATTATAATACTCCAAAAGATCAACGTCGGGAGAAACTAAGGTATTTTTTATACAGTTACTGAAAAATGTGTTAATATTATTAAGATCTGACTAATTTGGAGGCATGCTAACACTGGAAGATTTCAAAACACAAGATTTTTCCACATATCTCTTGATTGGCGCACGATTTGTAATATTGAAAAGTTTCCTAATTTCTTAGACTTATAAAATTTATTGTAATTTAAGTCCCCCAAAGATTTAGGGATAAGCTAAAAACATTAATTTTGCTCCAAGGTCTTGTTCCTTTATGTTGGCAGTTGTAAGGCGAATTTTACCTAAAATTTTGTGTCTTAGGCGGCCTCCGGCGATTCTTTATTAATTGAGAAATTTTTTATTAGAGTTTCATTAGTGACCTCTAAGAAGAATTTTAAAGGTGGTCTTAAAAATGTTATTTATCGATATTGGATTTTGTGATCATCTTTTCAGATATTATTATTTCAATCTAAAATTTTTATGTG